CCAAATAAATGATTCCGACGTCAAACTTGTGCGGTCAAAAATTCATTTTTTCCGGCAACATTAGTGCTTTTTCCGGCCAAAATTTGAAGTAGCAAGTAATATATGTATTATATGAGCATTTTGGAGTCCAAAAATAATGTTTAATTCGTATATATTTGGTTAATTTGTTAGGGATTGAATTTTGAAAATTGTTGTTCATATTAACCCTAAATCCATTAAATTGATCAAAATCTCTTATTTCTTGTTTATGTACGAAATTGATGCTATCGTTAAGTTATGTAATGTGTTATTCACCCTAAAACAAGAAAATAAGGTGGAATGATCATTGTACCACTATTATTGATTATTGTACCTCTGTTTGTATGTATATAGGACCACTTTAATACTGTTTCGTACCATATTTTCCTGGGAAATGTGAAGTTTTTTTTTTATTTATCCAATTATTGTTAAATACATGGAAGGGGCACAAAGTGATATACTAAGGAGTTGTACGTACAAGAATGAATTGTTTGTGTTCTCTATGCACATTGGATGAACGCTTGATAAAGTGTACACTCTCATATCAAAGAGGTGGCCGAACGTTAATTTCGAATCCATTGTGCTATGCTATATTGCGCCGAAGGAAAAAAAGAGTGTTAGTTTGTTGGATGATGAGGATGTGAAGAACATGATTCGGTTACATGTTTGTTGGAAAATAAATATTGTAGAGATAATTGTCATTTAAAGAAATGAAAGACCGAATGATGGAGTTCAATCGATCCCGATGAACATGATCAGTAATGTTGCTTTCATAATATTAATGAATTTATTATTGAAATATGGTATAGTCGTATCATATCCTAGTTCATTAATTTTTTAACCAGTTCCATTATTTATAAATCTTTGTATTATTTTGTCATGAACGCAGGAAAAATGTATAGTCTAATGATTTCTCGAAGGGAGAAGATGAGTTGTTGTAAGATAAATCGATCGATTGATGGAGATCTTGCATCAAAGGAGAGGGGCAGATATTCAGTAGGGCCGACGAATTTCGAAAGAGTGTCAAAAACTACGCGATTGCAAACAAGCGGTCTTTTAAGTATCGGAAAAATGACAAGCAGAAGGTCATCGTTTGTTGTAGCGATGCGGATTGTGAATGTAGAGTATATGCATCGTTATACAAAGGGGATCAGCAGTTTGCCATCCGAAAATGCAATCACGTCCATACTTGTGTACTCATTTTCATTCCAAAGAGTGGATAGCAAATGAGACTTTATGAGTAATATTTTTTGTACAATATACTGGCATTTTATACTGCAATATAGGTAATGGTTTTGTGAAGTTTTAATCGGTGTATTACATTTTCATTCCAGAAAGCTGATACTAACTAATCAATAACAGGTACTTCGTAGAAGAAAAAGCGGTATTATATTCGTCAAAACTGGTACCAGTCAATGAGTTGAAGTGAATTAAGTAGTGTTTTTCCATTAGTATGTTGAGTTCGTGACCAGTTTGTGATTAAACTTAATTAACCAAAAATAAAATATCATAGAAACTAATGTCAGAGTGATTATGGGTCGTATAAACATCATTTGCGACCAAAATTCTGTCTTCTTATGTGTTAATTACAAGTGGTACTAGGGACATGATATATGGTACTATCGCGCCATAAAGTGATACAGCATTACACTATGACTAGTACTACTTTTAGTAAATGTTGAGCATAATTGAAATAATCAATTTTTCTTCACAAAAGTTGGTACTAATCGATCAAAACAGGTACTACGTAGAAGAAAAAGAGGTATTATTTCTGTAGAAATGGGTACCATTCAATGAGTTGAAGTGTATTAAGATGTTTTTCCATTAGTGTGTTGAGTTCATGACCAATTTGCGATTAAACTTAATTAACCAAATATCAAATCTCATATAAACTAATGTCAGAGTGATTATGGATCGTATAAGCATCATTTGCAACCGAAATTCGGTCTTGTTATGTGTTCATTAAAAGTGGTACTAGGGACAGGATATCTGGTACTAGATCGTCATAATGTGGTACTGCCTTACACTATGACTGGTACTATGTTTTGTAAATGTTGAGCAGAATTGAAATAATCAATTTTTCTTCACAAAAGTTGGTACTAATCGATCAAAATCAGGTACCACGCAGAATAAGATGCAGTACTATGTTTTCCACAACCGGTACTATTATCAAAATCGCGATTTCTCTAATCCTTCATGTCTATCATGACACGTGAATCGTTCACACGTGATTTGGATGAAAAAAAAGTGGAATTGAAAACATATAGGTAGAATTTGGAGTAGTCATGTATGATGATTTCTATGAGATGAAGTGTGTCATTCAATGAAATGAAGTCTAGTTGAAGTGTTTTCTCATTAGTGTATCGAGTTCATGACCAATTTGCGATTAAACTCAATCAAAAAATTTAAAATCTTATATAAACTAATGTCAAAGTGATCATGGGTCGTATAAACATCATTTGCGACCGAAATTCGGTCTTCTTATGTGTCCATTACAAGTGGTACTAGGGACATGATATCTGGTACTAGATCGCCATAATGTGGTACTGGCTAACACTATGGCTGGTACTACTTTTTATAAATGTTGAGCAGTATTGAAATAATCATTTTTTCTTCACAAAATTAGGTACTATTCGATCAAAATCAGGTACCACGCAGAATAAGATGCGGTACTATGTTTTCCACAACCGGTACTATTATCAAAATCGCGATTTCTCTAATCCTTCACGTCTATCATGACACGTGAATCGTTCAAACGTGATTTGGATGAAAAAAAGTGGAATTGAAAACATATAGGTAGAATTTGAAGTAGTCATGTATGATGATTTCTATGAGATGAAGTGTGTCATTCAATGAAATGAAGTCTAGTGGAAGTGTTTTCTCATTAGTGTATCGAGTTCATGACCAATTTGCGATTAAACGCAATCAAAAACGTTTAAAATCTTATATAAACTAATGCCAGAGAGATCACGGGTCGTATAAACATCATTTGCGACTGAAATTCGGTCTTCTTATGTGTTCATTAAAAGTGGTACTAGGGAAAGGATATCTGGTACTACATCACCAAAATGTGGTATTGACTTACACTATGGCTGGTACTACTTTTTGTAAATGTTGAGCAGAATTGAAATAATTATTTTTTCTTCAAAAAAGTAGGTACTATTCGATCAAAATCAGGTACCAAGCAGAATAAGATGCGGTACTATGTTTCCCAAAACCGGTACTATTATCAAAATCGCGATTTCTCTAATCCTTCATGTCTACCATGACACGTGGATCGTTCACACGTGATTTGGATGAAAAAAAGTGGAATTGAAAACATGTAGGTAGAATTCGAATTAGTCATGTATGGTGATTTCTATGAGATGAAGTGTGTCATTCAATGAAATGAAGTCTAGTGGAAGTGTTTTCTCATTAGTATATCGAGTTCATGACCAATTTGCGATTAAACTCAATCAAAAACATTTAAAATCTTATATAAACTAATGTCAGAGTGATCATGGGTCGTATAAACATCATTTGCAATAGATATTCGGTCTTCTTATGTGTTCATTACAAGTGGTACTAGGGACAGGATATCTGGTACTAACTCTCCATAACGTGGTACTGACTTACACTATGACTAGTACTACTTTTGTTAAATGTTGAGCAGAATTGAAATAATCAAATTTTCTTCAAAAAAGTAGGTACTATTCGATCAACATCAGGTATTACGCCGAATAAGATGTGGTACTATGTTGCACAAAACCGGTACTATTATCAGAATCGCGATTTCTCTAATCCTTCATGTCTACCATTATACGTGGATCGTTCACACGTGATTTGGATGAAAAAAAAGTGGATTTGAAAACATATAGGTAGAATTTGAAGTCGTCATGTATGATGATTTCTATGAGATGAAGTGTGTCATTCAATGAAATGAAGTCTAGTAGTTGTGTTTTCTCATTAGTGTATCGAGTTCATGACCAATTTGCGATTAAACTCAATCAAAAACATTTAAAATCTTATATAAACTAATGTCAGAGTGATCATGGGTCGTATAAACATCATTTGTGACTGAAATTCGGTCTTCTTATGTGTTCATTATAAGTGGTACTAGGGACAGGATATCTGGTACTAACTCTCCATAATGTGGTAATGACTTACACTATGACTGGTATTACTTTTTGTAAATGTTGACCACAATTGAAATAATAAATTTTTTTCTTCACAAAAGTAGTTACTAATCGATCAAAAGTAGGTACCACGTAGAATAAGATGCGGTACTATTTTGCCCAAAACTGGTACTATTTTCAGAATCGCGATTTCTCTAATCCTTCATGTCTACCATGACACATGGATCGTTCACACGTGATTTGGATGAAGAAAAAGTGGAAATGAAAACATATAGGTAGAATTTGGAGTAGTTATGTAGGATGATTTCTATGAGATGAAGTGTGTCATTCAATGAAATGAAGTCTATTAGTAGTATTTTCTCATTAGTGTATCGAGTTCATGAGCAATTTGGGATTAAACTCAATCAAAAACATTTAAAATCTTATATAAACTAATGTGAGAGTCATTATGGGTCGTATAAACATCATTTGCGACCGAAATTCGGTTTTCTTATGTGTTCATTACAAGTGGTACTAGAGAGACGATATCTGGTACTAACACGTCATAAAGTGGTATTGTCTTACACTATGACTGGTCTACTTATTGTAAATGTTGACCACAATTGAAATAATCAATTTTTCTTCACTAAAGCAGGTACTAATTAATCAAAAGCAGGTACCACGTAGAAGAAGATGCAATACTATTTTGCCTAAAACTGGTACAGTTTTAATGAGATGAAGTGTTGGCAGTGTTTTTTCATTAGTGTGTCGAGTTCGCGACCAAGACTTAACTTTCTTTATATCCTTCACATTATTTTTTATCTTTCAACTAAGTAGGTATTAAGTACGACAAAACGAGCACTATTTTGAACACAAGGTTGGTACTTTTTTCTTTTAAACTAAAATCATATGACTGATATAACTTGATAATTCATAATGCACAGTACATCTCGTTGACATTGCAATAACCATCAGCAAAATCATCAAAAAGTTAAAAAGACATACATTTAATCCAAATCTTTGTCCACATATTTCTTCTGACTGAAGTTCCCAACAAGCTAAAACACAAATTAAACTAAATAAATAATCTACGTCCAAATTCTTCCTGCAACTTGGTCCAAATTCCTTTGCCCGCTGAATGTGATCCTACGTCCACCTCATGGATCCACCTCAACGATACTCATCTTCTGCAACTACTGAAGAATGTTACGAGCCACAGACCCATTGCTCTTGCCAAAATGGGGCGGATGGCTGCCATTCCTCTTGCTTCTACCATAAATCCTTTGGAAGGCACGAACACCAAGTCCTCGCCTCAAGTAGATCTTTTGGGCCATGGAAGCAGCCCTTATGTAGTACCAATCAGAATCATATGGCGCAAGCTCTTTGAGGACGTCAGTTTTTACCAAATCAGTCCAGTCGGGCAGCTCCATCTATTGATCGTGAAATAATAAATAAAATAAGTAAGTAAAATAGCTTAGGGGAACTCATGTGGACTACCTTTCCGTGCACAAAACACCTTGTGGGGGGTAGAATACTACAAACCAAATAAAGATCTTCATGAACCATAACTGCCATTAACTGAACTTAATCAAGACAGTATGATAACTAATGTTAGTTTTTCAAAATACAATCATCAATAATCTCACAGTGACAAATCAGTTCCACAATTTAGTTCTTTAATTCTCGGCCTGAGCAAAATCATTACATCACAAGCAAACAATAAAACAGGCTCTAGACAAACAATTATAAAATCATCAACGGGGTAAAACTACATCATCAAAAACCATTTACTACAAACAATGCCAAGAATCAAACAACCGAAAAACCAATAACACAAACAATAAACCTTCTTCACTCGGTACGCCCCAAAAATTAAGACTTTTCACAAGTCCCACCTCAAAATACATACCTTTTTACAAAAAGCACGCATTCACTTGAGATGACTAAGTGAAGAAAAACAATTGAAATGAAAAACATATAACAGTGCTAGTATAGACAAAAACGTTCTCACCTTCCCCGAGCACTTGAGGTGGGAGGCATAGGATTTGACGAACTCGTGTGGAGAGACATCCTTGACGGTTTTCACAGTCGCCATTGCTGAGGAGATCAAGCTCAAGTTGTCAAGCAAAGACGTTTTCAACTTTTTTTTTTCCTCTTCCAACCAGCAAATTAATTGAACAGAGAAAGAGATCGATCGAAAGAGAGAACAAAGTAACATAAAATAATTGGGGGAATAGCGAAGAACCTAGTTGTAGTAGAGCTCGAGGCCAATGCCGTCGTGGACCTCATAGTCCTTGAGGGTGATGTGGTCGTTGTAGATGGTGCACCACTTATGGATCGTGATCTTGTCGGCGCGTGTGCCGGTCTATGCGGCAATCAACTTCTTGAGGTCTCCGATGGTGTCGTCCTCGTTGCACTTTCTTGCCCAGGCGGTCGTTGAGCACGGGCTCAGTAACTTGGGGAGGAAGTAATTAGGGATTCAGATAATGAAATTTCAATCCCACCCTGCTCATTGACAAACACACAACATGAGATTGTTTTGGGGACTTATTTTAAATGCTCAATCCGATGTTAATTTTGAGCAAGTCGTCGGCGACGGAGAGTGAGTTTGCCGGCGGCGAGATGCACGAAGAGAGAGATAATCGTGTTCGGTGAAGAGAGAGATGCAAAGAGAGAGAGTGAAGAAAGAGAATAATAAATTATGTAAAATAAATCAATAATAATAGAAATAGTATTTATATGGGGAGTTGAGAGGAAAGATAAATTTGTATTAGGGAGTGGAGAAGAAGTTTTAAAGTGGTAGGGATTGGGGAGAAAGTTGAAATGTGAGTTGGGGATTTATTAGGAAATATTCGTCTATTTTCCATCTCTTTTAATCATCGTTAAGTCTAAAAAACAATAGGGTTATAATCTATTTTCCACCTCTTTTAATCAACATTCTTTTTTTAGTCAGAACATTACATATGAACATGTTAAGGCTAATTTGTAAAATAATTAATATATTATTTCACTAACACATTTATCCTAATATAAATTTGATTTTAGTATCTATATTTATTTCTTGATATAAGAGAAAATAACAGTTTTGCTTATTCTTGTTCACCATATAATACTCAATTATTATTTTATTATAAACTTTGTTGTCATATAATGTCATTATTATCTATAAAAGTTATAGAAGTTATACGTCTTCTTTTTCTTTTTATTTTATGTAATGAAAAATATTTAGTGCGCGTTACTATTATTTATTTATGTAATCAACTTAAAATATATAAATAAATTTCAATTAAATAATATATAAATACTTTACAAAATATACACACATGCTTTTTTAGAATTTAGTTTTGTATACTAATTAAACAATTTTGACTTAGCAAATGCCAAAAACTCAATCCCTTCTATAATCAAGACTTCTTTGATTTGCATTAGAAAGATTTATAGTTCATTTAGCATACTCTACAATAAAAATATATTTTACAATAATTTCATTATAGAAAGAAATAAAAAAACGATAAAAAAAATAATAATCATGGCTGCCGATAATATACAAATAAATTCTAAAGAACAATTAATATATATCAATTTTAATTTTTGACCATTAATAAAACTATTTAATGTATTTGGTCATTATCTCTTAAATTGTAAATTATATTAATTTGAAGAATAACTTATTTTTANCTTGATTGATTTAATTATATATATATAGGGGACGGATCCAATGAGACCACTCCTTAAAATGAGTACGTGAGACTCAATCTTAGCCACTCATTTTGTCTAGATCAAAATCAATTAAAATATACATTAATTAAATAATAAAATAATTATTGGTTGACTCCGGCGTTGACCGTTGACTTCTGGTGTTTACTCTGGCATTGACCCGTTGACAACAACCTAGCAGCAAGAAATGAATAACCTAGCAACAAAAGACAACTAACCTAGCAGCAAGAAATAAATAACCTAGCAATAAAATACAACTAACCTAGCAGCATCAGACAACTAACCTACCAGCAAGAGGTGTGTTTTCTACTACCTCGGCTTGGGAGCAGATAAGGCTGAGGGATCGGCCTAATCTCCTCTTCGGGGCTATCTGGAGTGACCTTTTCACACCTACTATTTCGGTGTTCCTTTGGCGCCTCCTCTTGCGCCGGATACCCGTCGATACTGTGCTACACGCGAGAGGGATCCCCTTCCCCTCTCGGTGTGTGTGTTGCTCTGAGACTGGACGCCATGAGACTGAGACCTTTACCCACCTTTTTCTAGAGAGTGAGATTGTGAGGAGAGTGTGGGAGCATTTTACCACTTGGACTCATATATCCCTACCCACCACATACAGTTTTTTTGAGCTCCTGAGTTTTTTCTCACAGAGCACACACCTTAGACACGTGGGCTTCCTCATTCCCTGTCTGATCCTTTGGTTCACCTGGACAGAAAGGAATAGTGCGAAGCATAGGGATATTACTTTTATGTTTTCTCACATTGTTTTGCAGGTAGAGAGATACATCTCACTCCTCACCGCATTGGGCAGGCTCACGGCCCGAGACTGGACAGGCTGCACGCCACCGCATCGCTACATGGTGGCCCCACCACCGCCTGTTCGGCCTCCTCGGGCCAGAGCTGTTGTTTGGCTTCGACCTGACTCTCCGTGGGTCAAGCTGAACACTGATGGCTCCTTTGATCGCCACACTAGACTTGCCGGAGAAGGAGGCTTGATTCGAGACCAGAGCGGCGCCCTCATCACCTCCTTCCACGCGTTCATTCAGGCCTCCTCGAGCTACGATGCAGAGATTCAGGCACTACAGATTGGCCTTCAGATTGTTGTCCACCTCTCTAGTCATATATAGATCGAGCTGGATGCTGCGGCTGTCGCTATCCTCCTGACTTCGGGCCATCAGGGCTCGTGGCAGATTCAGCACCCGCTTCTGCGCATTAGAGATCTACTTCAGTCAGTCCATCACAGGATCACGCACATTTTCCGTGAGGGGAACAGACCGGCTGATTACCTAGCCAGCCTTGGCGCCACCATACCAGGCACACATACATTCCATACCGACACTGCTCCACGCCGCCTTCGCACTCTTGTACGGATGGACCAGCTTGGATATCCAGCGTTCTGCTTTCACTAGTTTAGGATTTCTGTTTTCATTAGTATAGACATTTATTTCGGGCATCTGTTAGCCCGAAGATCGACCTTATATTGTAGTTTTTGTTTCTTTTTCGTTTTTCGGTTTTTCCTTCTTGTTTTTCTTTTGTTTTTGTTTTTGATTGTCAGACTATGTAGACCTTTGTATCTTGTTCGTTGACATTTTGGGCTCCCGTTTTTGGGGCCCTGATCTATGCACAGGTTGGGGATCCAGCCCAATCCCCCGTCCTTCCGGGGCGTTGTTTGTTTAAAAAAAAAAAAAAAAAAACCAGACTCTCTCCACAAAGCAGCAAAACGTCCCTCAAGTAGAAAAAGAGACATCTCCCGGCCACTACTGAGCTGAGCAGCTCCAAAAAAGGCGCCAGCGCGAATCTGCTCGAACATAACGAAAATGGCGGACAAGGCAGTGACTATCAGGACGAGGAAGTTCATGAAAAATCGCCTCCTATCCAGAAAGCAATTTGTTATTGATGTGTTGCACCCAGGAAGAGCTAACGTTTCTAAGGCTGAGCTGAAGGATAAATTAGCTAGGTTGTACGAGGTTAAGGACTCGAATGCCATATTAGTGTTCAAGTTCATAACTCACTTTGGTGGTGGCAAATCTACTGGGTTTGGCCTGATCTATGACACTATGGAGAGTGCGAAGAAGTTCGAGCCGAAGTACAGGCTAATTAGGAATGGTCTTGATACCAAGGTTGAGAAGTCCCGAAAACAGATGAAGGAAAGAAAGAACCGAGCCAAAAAAATTCTTGGGGTTAAGAAGACTAAAGCTGGTGACGCTGGTAAGAAGAAATGAGCTCTCAATAGGACATGGTGTATTTTCGTTTTCATTTTTTTTTTTTTCGAATGTCGAAGATCATTAATGTGTCACCCTATCTTTAATGTTGGTTAATGAAAGACCTTTCTTAGACATTGTGCTGCATACAGTTTTTCGGTTTTGGACCTTTTTGGTTGTAATTGGGACTTGTTCAGTTTTGTTGTTGATCCCATTTACCTTTTGGGGTGAAAAAAAAAACCTAGCAGCATCAGACAACTAACTTAGCAGCAAGAAAGAACTAACCTAGCAACAAAAGACAACTAACATGCAACAAAAGACAACTAACCTAGCAACAAAACACAACTAACCTAGCAGCTACAGATAACTAACCTAGCAACAAAAGACAACTAACCTAGCAGCAAGAAAAAAATAAACCTAGAAACTTAAGACAACTAACATAGCAACAAAACTCAACTAACCTAGCAGCTACAAATAACTAACCTAGCAACAAAACATAACTAACCTAGCAACAAAACACAACTAACCACGCCACCGCACCGCTACAGGGTGGCTCCCCCTCCGCCTGTTCGGTCCCCTCGTCCCAGAGCTGTTGTTTGGCTTCGACCCGACTCTCCTTGGGTCAAGTTGAACACCGATGGATCTTCCGATCGCCATAGCGGTACTGCCGGAGGAGGAGGCTTGATCTGGGACCACAGTGGAGCTCTTATCGCCGCCTTTCACACATCCCTTCAGGCATTCTCGAGCTACGATGCAGAGATTCAGGCATTACAGATTGGCCTTCAGATTGCTGCCGACCTCTCTAGTCATATTTGGATTGAGCTGTACGCAGCGGCTGTCGTCACCCTCCTGGCCTCGGGTCATCAGGGCTCGTGGCAGATTCAACACCCACTTATGCGCATTAGAGATCTACTTCGGTCTGTCCATTACAGGATCACACACATCTTCCGTGAGGGGAACAAACCTGCTGATTACCTTGCCAGCCTTGGCGCTACCATACCAGACACGCACACGTATCAGACCTACACTGCTCCACTCCGTCTTCGCACGCTAGTTCGGATGGATCAGTTGGGATATCCATCGTTTCGATTCCAGTAAATTAGGTTTCTGGTTTTGGTCTTCTTAGACCATCCATTTATTCCGGGCACCTGTTAGCCCGATGACAGACCTTGTTCTATTTTCATTTTCTGTTTTCGTTTCTGTTTGAATTGTGAGACTATGTTGACACTTTGGGCCCCAGTTTCCGGGTCTTGATCTATGTACAGGTTGGGGATCNAAAACGTAGTGCATAATGATTTAAAAAAAAAAAAAAAAAAAAAAACCTAGCAACAAAAGACAGCTAACTTAGCAGCAAGAAAGAAATAACCTAGCAACAAAAGACAACTAACCTAGCAACTACAGACAACTAACCTGACAAATTTATAATTGTCTGAAAATATGTCGTTATTTTTTATAGTGCAATTTCTCACAATGTAATGTGCAATTTATGTATCATTATTGTGCATTTATTACACATTTTAAAAATATGCCGTTATCTTTTAAAGTGCAATTTCTCAAAGGGTAATGTGCAAATTATATATCATTATTGTGCATTTATTAACATTTTTGTTATATTAACTCACTAAATCAGAATATATTAAAATTTAAAAAATTGCAATAAGGTCCCAGAAATATATCGAATTCTCACAAAAAAAACCCCACATCCAAACAATGAAAACCTGCAACTACACCGCCAAAATCCATTCTGGCCGATCCCTCGCAGCCGCCGCCGTCCTCGGCGTTGATGTCCGGCTACAAGCAAACGCGTCAGCCCAAAAAAAAAAAAAG